GAGAAGAGGAGAGGAAAGAGAAAAAAAGAGGAGAGGAGAAGAGAAAAAAGAGAAAAAGAGAAGAGAAAAGAAAGAGAAAAGAGAAGAGAAAAAAAGAAGAGAGGGAAAAGAGGAGAAGAGAAGAAAAGAAGAGAAAAGAGAGGAGAGAAGAGAAAAAGAGAAAAGAGAGAAGAGAAAAAAGAGGAGGAGAGGAAGAGAAAAGAGAAGAGGAGAAGAGAAGAGAAAAAGAGGAGAGAGAAGAGAAAAGAGAAAGGAGAAGAGAAAGAGAAACGAAAAAGAGAAGAGAAACGAAAAGGAGAAGAGAAAGAGAAACGAAAAAGAGAAGTGAAACGAAAAGGAGAAGAGAAAAAAAAAGAGAAAAGAGAAGAGAAGAGAGGAGAGAAAAGAGAAGAGGAGGAAGAGAAAAAGAGAAGAGAGGAGAAGAAAAAAAGAGGAGAGGAGAAAAAGAAAAGGAAAAAAGAAGAGGAGAAGAAAAGAGAAGAGGAGAGGTGAAGAGAAAAAAGAGAAAGAGAGAGAGAGAAGAGAAAAAGAGAAGAGAAGAAGAGAAAGAGAAGAAAGGAGAAAAAAGAGGAGAAGAGAAAAAAAGAGAAAAAGAGAAGAGGAAGAGAAGAGAAAAGAGAAGAAGAAGGAGAAGAAATAAAGAGGAGAGGAAGAGAAAAAAAGAAGAGGAGAAGAGAAAAAAGAGAAGAAGAGGAGAAGAGGGAGAAGAGGAAAAAAGAGAAGAGGAGAAGAAGAGAAAGAAGAGAAAAAAGAAGAGAGAAGAGAAAAGAGAAGAGGAGAAGAAGAGAAGAGAAGAAGAGAGAAGAAGAAAAAGAGAAGAGGAGAAGAGAAAAGAAAAAAAGAAGAGGAGAAAAAAGAGAAGAGGAGAAGAGAAAAAAAAAGAAAGAGAAAGATGAAGAGGAGAGAAAAAAAGGAGAGGAGAAGAGAAAAAAGAGAAGAGGAGAAGAGAAGAGAAAAAGAGAAAAAGAGAAGAGGAGAAAAAAAAGAGAAGAGAAGAGAAAAGAGAAGAGGAAAAGAGAAAAGAGGAAGAGGAGAGAAGTAGAAAAAAAGAAAAAGGAGAGGAGAGGAGAAAAAGAAAGAGAAAATGAGAAGAGAAAAAGAGAAGAGGAGAAGAAAAAGAGGAGAGGAGAGAGAAGAATAGAGGGAAAGAAAAGAGAGAAAAAGAGAAGAGGAGAACATAGAAGAGAGGAGAAAGAGGAGAGAGAAAAAAAAAAAAGAAGAGGAGAGGAGGGAGAAGGGGAAAGAGAGAGGAAAAGAGGAAAAAAGGAAGAGGAAAAGAGAAAAGAGGAGAGGAGTCAAAGAGGAGAAGAGAAAAAGAGAGAAGAGAAAAAGAGAAGAGGAGAGGAGAAGAGAAAAAAGAGAAGAGAGAGGAGAAGAGAAAAAAGAGAAGAGGAGAGGAGAAGAGAAAAAAAGAGAAGAGGAGAGGAGAAGAGAAAAAAGAGAAGAAGAGAGAAAGGGAGAGGAGAGAGGAGAAGGAAAGGAAAGAGAGAAGGAGAGGAGAATTGAGAGAAGAGAAAAAAAAGAGGAGAGGAGAAGAGAAGAGAAAGTGAAAGAAAAGAGAAGGAGAGGAAAGAAAAAAGAGGAGAGGAAAGAGGAGAGGAGAGAAAGAGGAGAGAGGAAAGAGAAGAGAGGGAGAGGAGAGGAAAGAGGAGAGAGGAGAGAAGAAAAGAGAGGAGAAGAGAAAAAGAGAAGAGGAGAGGAGAAGAGAGAGGAAAAAAAGAGGAGAGAGGAGAGAAAAAGAGAGAGAAAGAGAAAAAGAGGAGAGGAGAAGAGAAAAAGAGAAGAGGAGAAGAGAAAAAAGAGAAGAGGAGAAGAGAAAAAGAGAAGAGGAGAGGAGAAGAGAAAGAGAAGGAGAGGAAGAGAAAAAAGAGAAGAGAGAGGAGAAGAGAAGAGAAAAGAGAAGAGGAGAGGAGAAGAGAAAAGAGAAGAGAGGAGAAGAGAAAAAAGAGGAGAGGAGAGGAGAAGAGAAGAGAAAAGAAAGAGGAGAGAGGAGAGGAAAGAAAGAGAGGAGAGGAATGAAAGAGGAGAGGAGAAAAAAAAAGAGGAGAGGAAAGAAAAAGAAGAGAGGAGAGGAAAGAGGAGAGGAGAGGAAAGAAGAAAAAGAGGAGAGAAGAAAAAGAGGAGAGGAGAGGAGAGGTGAGATGAGGTGAAAAAGAGGAGAGGAGAGGAGAAAAAGAAAAGAGAATAGGACGTCTCAACACTTGGATTTGCGAATAAAGCAACACTTATCTCCTAGGATTTTGAATCCGGCTGCCAGTAATGGCCGACAAGTTTAATACATCCGGGTCTTCTATCGCACAGCATATTATAAATAGCAGGAATTGTGTCTCTGGATTTAAAAGGACCGTTTTTCTATGTTATCAAGGTCCCACTCTTCATACCACCTAAAGGTTCTGAAGTCCTTATACATCAGATCCCGCAAGCCTTCCCTCTGTAAACAGAGGGATTGTTTGCTGGGTTTGAATGTTATTGGGCTTTAGTTTTCTTTGTATTTTTTTTCTCCCCATTAGTCATCCTCTATTTCTTTTACACGTTTCTGATTTTAATTCCCAGGAGTAAATTTGATAAGACTAGGACGAAAACGGTTGTTTTTTAGCTATCAGAATTTACATTAAAAAATGCTTTTTAAATTACGCTTATTTCTTTTTGCTATTATAAAATTTTGTACATATATATATATATATATATATATATATATATATATATATATATATTGATGCATGTTTCATTAAATAATATAGACAAGTGTTGTCTATTTATTTTATGTAAATTCTTTTCATATCGTCTGATAAGCTTAACAGCGTTATCATTAAACGAAGAAAGAAAATCACAATATTGATACATATTTTTTAATCCAATCTAAGCTTTCGTCTTACATAAGCCATTATCAGAGATTACAAATACATTACAATATATTAAGCAATACACGGACAAAACAATGATGATAGTCTGTTTCTGTTAATATAGAAGATTTCCAAGCAACGACAAACTCGTGCATACAAGACGCTGGAAGCGAAAATTGCACCGACGTCACACATGATCACGCGAGAGTGAAAACGAGAAGTATTAAGTATGGGAAGCCGCTGGTATAAACCAATGGATTCTGTTATCAATTATAGGCATTTAAGAATATTTGTGGAGATTTCATTGTTCAGCTTAGGTTTCAACTGTTTTATGTATATAGCTTCAAGAATTTTTAGTTTTTGTTTATTGTTTTCATGTTTAAGTATAGTTGTGTTTTCAACAAGGATTTTTCGGAATTGTGTATGCGGCCAGGTATGTTGTTTTAAATGCCTAAAAATGTCAGAGTTATCTTTCAAATGTAGTGTCAAGCGTCGTGAAAGCGAGTTTGTAGTGTGACCAACATAAATATTATGTAATATGCGAGTATAATAAAGCACATTCCCAAAGGAACAAAGTCCAAGTTATCTAGAAATTACTTTAGTAAAATAATTTTCCACGATAAAAAGAAAAATATGAAAGGACTTTAAAAGAAACGGGGCATAAAACCAAATTGGAATTTTAATCTTAATAATTTTGACCATAAAACATTGCTTTTATTAAGATTTGGATATTTTTTTCATCATATATGCCCATTTCTTTATCGGCGCATATATATATTTCGATAAATGAAACGACCAGATCTAAGCAACCATATATGCGCGTGTTGGCGTGCATAGACAGGTAAGCAAATAATCATTAAATTTATTCATGAGGTGTAAACATATCAGTGCTTAGACGGAGCAAAGATATATATTAATAAATATGCATATACAAATACCTACGTTTAGGTGCGCGTCTTAAGTTTCGCTAGTTTTCCAGCTCATCAGGCACAAATTATATCTTATATCTATATATGTGTTAAGAGAGAGAGAGGACCGGGTGCTTTAAGCGACCTCCTACAATTTGAAATATGTTTCAGGTTATTTAAAACCCACAAAAGAAAAAAAAAAAAAAAAAAAAATTGCGGACTCCATTAAGATATTTACGAAACTGAGAGAAGATGAAAAACAGGATTTCATGAAAGTGAAGATTACTTCAATATTAATCGCAAAAAATGTATTTTCAGATTCTTATGTAGAAATCCAAGAACCATAATTTCACATTTTCTAAAATCATATGTAAACTTGGGAATAAGACTGTCCAAAAAGCTATCGTTTTAACCGAGTGCCAGAAGGAATCTGTAGAATAGTTAGTACTTTAGATTGAAGAGAGAAAGTGAATGAGAGAGAGAGAGTGAGAGAGAGAAAGTGGGTTGAAACGATAGGAAAGAGTGAGAGAGAGAGAGTGGGGTTGAAACGATAGGAAAGAGTAAGAGAGAGAGGGGGGTTGAAACGATAGGAGAGAGAAAGAGAAGTGACACAGAGAGAGAAAGAGAAGTGACACAGAGAGAGAAAGAGAAGTGACACAGAGAAAGAGAAAAAAGTGACAGAGAGAGGAAAAAAGTGACAGAGAGAGGAAAAAAGTGATAGAGAATGAATTGAGAGACAATGAGAGAAAGGTTGAGAGACAATGAGAGAAAGGTTGAGAGACAATGAGAGAAAGGTTGAGAGACAATGAGAGAAAGGTTGAGAGACAATGAGAGAAAGGTTGAGAGACAATGAGAGAAAGGTTGAGAGACAATGAGAGAAAGGTTGAGAGACAATGAGAAAGGTTGAGAGACAATGAGAGAAAGGTTGAGAGACAATGAGAGAAAGGTTGAGAGACAATGAGAGAAAGGTTGAGAGACAATGAGAGAAAAGTTGAGAGACAATGAGAGAAAGGTTGAGAGACAATGAGAGAAAGGTTGAGAGACAATGAGAGAAAGGTTGAGAGACAATGAGAGAAAGGTTGAGAGACAATGAGAGAAAGGTTGAGAGAAAGAAAGTGATATAGGCAGTGACAGAGAAAGTCATAGAGAGAGTGGGAGCGAGATAGAGAATGGATTGAAACGTGAGAGAAAGGGAGAAAAAAAATGGGTTGAAAGGAGAGAGATTGACACGGGAGAATGAAAGCAAAGGTGATGCCCAACCCTCGGTGTCCAGCCTCGACAAAGTTCAAAAGCCCTTGCATAGCTTTGTGGGTGGTGATTAATTATTCTCCCCACTTCGACCCTTATACCGCAGACAAAACCTCGCCAGCATCTCGCTTCTCTATCACTATGACTATGACAGATTGTCAAACGAGCAACATTCTTTATATGCCACCAGCTCGGACTTTTGCAGCTAGGATTCGATGTTTCACAGTGGCAAACCATCTTCATTATCTTCGTGTCCATTTGATAAATAGCAAGTTTTACTCAGACAGAATCTTTTCCAGAACTGTTGGTTTGAGGAACAAACTCCCGCGAGGATGCTTCCTCGATAAAATCCATGATCAAATCGTCTATCCCATCTGTTATTATAATATGAATTTCTGATTTCTTTCTTCCCAATTTCTTAAAATAATTACACTCAGTAAGTCTCTACCTTGAGTGGCTCTTGGGCCTTCTATTGCGCGAACAGACAGTAAGAAATGGTTATTCTACAAAAGCATATTCTGTCTCGTTGCGACATAGAGGGCAATTACATCTCCCCATCTCATTCATATTGGCCATCTCGTTCATAACGGTTGTTTTTAAAAATTTCTCTCCAAGCAAGGCAATAAAACCACTAAGACGCAAAAGCTACTGAGCGTGAAAGAGTAGAAGAAAAAGGAAAAACATTATTAAGGCGAGAAAAGAACAGGAATTAAGACAGACGATAAAAATTGACATTGCATTTACATTTTTTGCAGATCAAAGTAGACTGGAAAATTATCGGCCGGGAGAGAGTTCTACAAGCAAGAAGTGCGAGAGAAGAAACTGTTAGCATAGAACTTACGGTTACATCTCGCCATTTCAGCCGTAAGATAAGACCTTTCCGTAACTCTAGTATTGCGTTTAAATTTGTAAAGTCAAGGTGCCAAAGAGCAAAGTTCAACAGAACAATTACCATAGAAAAAGGCACAGGGTATCTACCTCACGGCGGGGTGAGTGAGTGAGTGAGTGAGTGAATCCGAGATGTCATGTCAGGGTCGATAACATTGCAGAGAGAGAGAGGATTTTATCAAGAATCTCTAAATACATAACAGAAGCATCAGACCAGACGTAAAAATGACTGGTTCCTGTTTTCCCTCTCTCTATTTACCAAGCTCCCCACAAGGCAAGATGTGGCACAAGGCCAGTTTTTAACGTAGGCTCGGATAAAAATTGACTGCAGACCCTTGTTTGATTATTCTGATTTGTCTACCTCCCCCAAACGAGACTGTTCTCCGGCATAGCCTCATCTGGGTTCCTCTCTGTCTGGAGGCAGAGATTTCGAAAAGACAGAAAGAGATAAGTTCCTCCTCCTCCCCTCTCTTTTGTTTACTCTTCTCGATAGGGCGCTACGTGCAGTAGCCCAGGAAATTCAAATCGGCAGAGATAAAAAGTAATATAACGTGAGAGTGACAGTCATGAAAATTCACAAGCAGAAACAATTCCAAGTTCAGACAATTTATCAAGCAAGAAGAGTCGGTCACTACATCATTAGAATACTGACGAGACACTTTCGCATCTAGCCAAATTTGGTGAGGGCGGAGGATTGGCCGTTGATTCCCCCCCTCCTCCACCAGGTCGATGCTTGGACTTAAGCCGTACATTCACTTGTTATCATGAGGAAGAAAGCGGACAAACACTTGCTGCCCTGTGTGAGTATATTTTCGCGCTACCGAAAACTCATTTAAATTTTTTTCTATTAATTCTTTATTTATTTTTAATCTTTAAATTTTATTTTATTGTATTTTTTTTCTCCCCCTACTCGTCAGTGTGTTTGCCTATAGTAACACATTTTGCCCTAATCATTCTAACCTATTTGATGAACTCTCTATGGCTGCTCGGTCTCACGTTGACGGCTGACCTGAGATGGAACAAATACATTGAGTCAATTGCTTCGTCCACCGCAAGGAAAGTTGGCTCCCTGTGCCGCGCCAGGAAATTTTCTCCCGGAATCGATCCCCAGATCTACAAATCAACAATTCGCCCTTGCATGGAGTATTGTTGCCATATATGGTCTGAAGCCCTTCTGTTTGCCTCAGAGTTCTTGATAGGCTCCAGAGGCGGATATGCAATATAATTGACCCTGCTCTGGCATCTCGTCTACAGTCACTCTCTCACAGACGCGCCGTCGCCTCTCTCTGCCTGTTTTACAAATACTTTCATGGCAATTGCTTCGAGGAGCTGCATTCGCTGGTTCCCAGACTTCATGAGTTCAAGCGCCTTACGAGGCTGGCATCCCGCTCTCACCCCTTCACTGTCGAAACTCCTAAATATAGCCGTCTCTTCTACACCAATAGCTTCATGTCTCGCACCTCTCGCCTGTGGAACTCCCTTCCCTATTCCATTTTCCCTGAGAGCTATAATCTCCAGCTATTCAAATGTAATGTCAATCGTCATCTCCAGTTGCCTTGATCTATCCACTACCCTTCTCTTCATCCTTTCTTCTATCACTCCTATCTGATCTTGTTCCAAATTTTCTGTAACCCCTTGCGTCCTAGTGGCTTCCCGCCTTGCTTGGGGTGAAACGCTTAAAAATAAAAGCTAATTTATGTTTGGTTTGGTTTATTTTGTTTTACGGCATATCAACCTCAATGGGAAATTTAATGCCGACAACATTTTTAGGATAGATCCCTATGAATAGAATATGTATTCTTTGGTTTAGATTGGTTTGGTTTATTTTGTTTTACGGCACATCAAGCTCAATGAGTTATTTAATGCAGAGAAAAATTTTTATTGCTGGTAATAATTTGTTTTGTCAAAAATCTGTTTTTGGTAATATTTTTCCTTCAAAATTGTATTGATGGTAATATTTTTTTTCAAAAAAGTATTGCTGGTAATAGTTAACTATTTTCCCATAGCTGGGACCCTAACAGATGCTACCACTCCGGGTCAGGGTGGACCTGGAAACACCAGTAATTAAGAGGTGGTTCCACGCTCCTCAAAATCTTCTAATCAGAGGCCTTGCCGCTGGAAGGCAGTATATCGTCTTACACAGGACGCGGATATAGTTTAACGTCTTACCAAGGACGGGGATAATTCATGGCCATAGAGACAGGAGAAGAGACTGAGTGGAAAACATAGAGTCATCTCATTCGGTCCAAGTCTCTACCACCAGATGTAGACGGTGCTATGACATGAGGCTTGTTAGCTCACAACACCTAATGTGATTACAGAGGATGTAAAGATTGTGTGCGTCATTGTAGGCAGCTCCTTCGCATAACTGGAGAGCCACTGATTATTCCTACTCTTCACAAGTTCATAACGTTTCTAGCTAATATCATGAGCACGGTGAGCTTTGTTCTTTTTTGGGTCAGAATTCAGAGAGAGAGAGAGAGAGAGAGAAGTGAGAGAGAAGGAGTCAGAAAGAGAGAGAAGTGAGAGAGAGAGAGGAGGAGAGAAGGAGTCAGGACGAGAGAGAAGTGAGAGAGAAGGAGTCAGGACGAGAGAGAAGTGAGAGAGAGAGAGAGAGAAGGAGTCAGGACGAGAGAGAAGGAGCCAGACGAGAGAGAAGGCGAGAGAGAGAGAGAAGGGAGTCAGGGACGAGAGAGAAGTGAGAGAGAGAGAGGACGAGAGAGAGAGAGAGAGAAGGAGTCAGAACGAGAGAGAAGTGAGAGAGAGAAGGAGTCAGGACGAGAGAGAAGTGAGAGAGAGAAGGAGTCAGGACGAGAGAGAAGTGAGAGAGAGAAGGAGTCAGGACGAGAGAGAAGTGAGAGAGAGAAGGAGTCAGGACGAGAGAGAGAAGTGGAGAGAGAAGTGAGAGAGAGGAGGAGGACGACGAGAGAGATGTGAGAGAGAGAAGGAGTCACGGCGAGAGAGATGTGTGTGAGAGAGAGAGAGAGAAGGAGTCACGGCGAGAGAGATGTGAGAGAGAGAGAGAAGGAGTCACGACGAGAATGAAGCGAGCGAGAGAAGGAGTCACGGCGAGAGAGAGAAGGAATCACGGTGAGAGAGAGAAGTGAGACAGGAGTCACAGTGAGAGAGAGAGAAGTAGACACGATGAGAGAGAAGGAGTCACGGTTAGAGAGAAGAGACGATAAGAGTTTTAGGATGTGAAGATGAAACGAGAGAGAGAAAAGACACATGAGAGCACACAAGAAATTAATGAAAACGGAAGAGACGGAGAGGGATAAACCGCCGTTTTATTATTTCCTTTTTTTCCTCGGTTAACCCTCGAAATGTTTTCTTATGATGATAATCAAATTGTAGGTAAAAAAAACAAAAACAAACAACAAAAATTTCTGAATTTATTTTCTTTCCCTTGGTCAGCTGCGTATATTCTATTAGGTTAATGTGGTTAACAAGCCTCACCTTTTACCGCCTCTCAGCTGAACGGACTTTCAAAAATATTTCATTTGAAAAATTAAGGTCAGTATATATTTCTCAATTTCTTCCTCGGCCGGGCAACAAAGCCACGTGACCGCGATGAGAACATCTGATTGGTGCGATTTCTCTTCCCTCCCACTTCTGCTATAATGTAATTTTCTTATCGCCATTAGTTTTTTTTTTTTGTTTGTTTTATTTTATTTTCTCTCCTGTTATTTATATTTAATATTTTATTTTTTTCCGTAGGACTATTTTTTTTTATTATTAAAAATGTTTGGCATTTTTTTTTCTTTTTTTACAGCTGAGAAATTTACCGGAAACTGACAAACTCTGAAAATCTAATATTAATAACTACATTCCTGTTTGAAACAGAGAAAGGCGGAGAGGAAAAGATTTGACGACATTGCTGTGAATATCTTTCCGAATTGTAGGTTTTCTTTTAATTCAATTTAGTAGGTCTTCGCAACAAAATGTAATAAAGGGAAACGCACGTATTTCGGTAATTATTATTACTATACACAAAAACATTTTTTCGTGCACATGCACACACACAACTTCATATGTATATATACACACACATTCACGAATATATTTCAATGTACGGAGAGGGGTCGATTGAGAAAAATGAAGAGATATTTTCATGCGCCTTATTTATACACGTGATAATTAATAATAATTAAAAAGCAACTGACCAAACAGTTCTCTTCGAAATTGTTAATCCACGACAATAATTGCAAAATGTTAAAACAACATTGTCGAATTATTGTCATTTCGATGTTTATTTTCACTGGAAATTCAAATCTAATAAACAATTTAGAGCCAATAGGAAACGCTATCGGACTTAACGTTTCTAATCCAGACTTCAAAGGATTCAGCCAATCTGGATAGATATGCAGAAACCGTACATTCATAGGATGTAAAATCCTATATTTTACAACCAATAAATGAAACACAACTAAGTAAAAACTGCCGACATATAAATAGGATCAGAATCACTAAAACAAATTATAATGTATTAACAAGAAAAGTATAAAAGTGACAAATACAATGATGTGTGCAACAAAATAATGTAAAAACCGTTTTGGCCCAAAGGATGTGTAATGAGTGAATGTGCGTACGTACGAGTGTTCATGCGTTTCCCAATGCGAAACGCGTTTTCCCGCGAGAGACTTACATGTTGACGTGTAAGCAGAAAAAGTAAGAAGGATATTTGCCAACCGCCCCACGCGGTCAGATGTGGCACAAGGCCGAATTTAACGTGGGGTATCCGAGCACGTAGGCCCGGGCAAAAATTTCCCGTAGATCCCGTTAAAAAAAAAAAAAAAAAAAAAACGGGGTCGGGTATCTGTCTACCATCTCAGACGAGACTCTGCACTTCGGCAGAGCCTCGTCTGGGTTCCTCTCCGCCCGAAAGCAGAGAGTTCGACCAGTACAGCCGGAGACGAATTTCCAACCGAAGAAGCAGAAAAAGTAAGAAGAGGAAGCAAAAAAATCATCGTAGGGTATTTATAGTACCGGAGAGCGACCTCTAGTAGCGGTTTCTGGAAAGTGGAGTTAACACCATACATGCATTAAAAATCTTATTAGCAGCAGCCGCCTTTTTCAACGTGCGTTTTTTTTTTTTTTAAATAACAGTGAAGCATGCGTAGCCTGAATTTCATGAATAACTCTTTTTTTTAATTTTATTTAAGCAATTCACCCCAAGCAAGCCGGGAGTGCCACTAGCACGCAAGGGGTTACAGAGGATTGAGAACAAGATTAAAGAGGCGTGTTTGAGGAAAAAGGATACAGAGAAGGACGAGGAATAAGCTCAGGGTGTCAGATGTCGATTGACATTACACTTGAATATTTGAAGATTATAGTCATCGGGAAAGCAGGCAAGGAGAAGGGAGTTCTACAGATGGGAAGTGCGAGAGAAGAAACTGTTTCAGCAGAAGAGACGGTTACATTTAACTGTTTTAACAGTGAAAGGATGGGACCGAGATGCCAGCCTGGTAGCTCACTTAAATTCAAGCAGTCTGGGAACCAGCGAAAGTAGCTCGTCGGAACAGTTGCCGTGAAAATACTTGTAGAAGAGACACAGGGAAGCCACGGTACATCTGTGAGGAAGCGACTGTAGACTAGATGCCAGATCAGAACCTATCTCATTCCATATTCGTCTCTGGATTTTGTCGAGGACCTCGAGACGTACAGCGGGGGCAGTAGTCCATATACGACAGCAATATTCCATCTAAGGACAGATGGCTGATTTATAGATTTGAAGGATGGACTCAGACGAGAAAAAAAAAACTTTCTGGCACGACACCGAGAATTAACATTCCTTGCGGTAAATGAAGTTATTGGTTCAATGTATTTGCTCCACCTCATGTCAGCGGACATCGTGAGACCAAGCAGACGTAACGAGGCGCTCTCGAGGAGTTGGGAATCATCCATTCTGATGAGAGACAGGAAGGCTTCTCTGAGGTGGGTAAAGGCTGCTCTGATCAACAGTTGCATAATATCGAGGTGCTTGTAGTGCCATGTCGCGCATGGAAAGGTGTTCCTGCACGCACCTCCAGTGGGCAACCCGAAGATCTTAAGGATAATTACAGAAACGGGATTTTGTTAACAATAAAGTAGACAAGGCAGGGGGTAAGTAATTGCGCTTCCATAACACAACGCATGATCTACACACTACAACCAAACACCCACCCACTCAATAACGGAATAAGTTCAACTACAATCATTTCCCCACATCATTTTTTACAGGAACCCTTATGAGAAAATTTTTTAAAATAGCAAAGTCCTCTTTCTAATTATCCTTGAATACCCTGTATAAAACGAAAACAATTGTAAATCATTTTTAAAATTCTTTTATATGTCTATTTCTCCTAACCAATTAAACACGATACAATTTTGTTCGCCAATATACATCATCTCAACCTAGAGAGTACAGAAAAAACTAAATATTTTACTTCGAAAAGAAACGCCAGTGAAACTGCAGATTAAGCCCCGGAAACCGATTGTAATGAAAGCTTCCGTTCTGATGTAAATTTGCATATTTATATAAAAAATAACAATGTTAGTTTGCCGGAGAAAACCGTTTAGGAGTTAACAATATAAATTCGGCCTTATTCGCGTCGCGGCTACAGCCCGGCAGCCATTACTGGCTTTCTTTACATACGTTCACCTTGAGTAAGCATGCGCCGAAGTTTCACTTGTCTTAATTACTACGCAATGCGTGTAGTAAGACGTGTAAGAAAATAAATGCGCGTAGTCAGAAGATAAGAAGATCAGCAAAAAGGCCGTTAACTAAGTAAGCTTCCGCGCATTTCTGCTCGAGACAAACTTATGTAAACAACGCCAGTAATGGCGCACGGACAAGACGTGAATAAGGCCGAACTTATATTGTCAATAACTCTTAAACGCTTTTCTTCTGCAAACTTTTATTGTTATTTTCGAAATAAACATTTAAATTTACACCAGCATAGAAATTTTCATTACAATTGGTTTCCGGGGCTTAATCTGTAATTTTACAGAGACGCCTTTCTCACATTTATGGACCAATCTAAACAACTCCCAGTTTATCTGATCCAATTTACTTTTAAATAAAGAAAAAAAATACCAGTGAAATCAGAGGCTAGTCGGTTCGTCTCTCCATGCCATAGACCGCGCACATTATATATATATATGATAACTGCCATTTTTTTCTTTAAGGAATAAGGCGATCTCTTTAAAATTGAGCTAAGCGACCATGACTATAAACCAGCATTGCTTCTGCATACGTTTTGACATATATGACACACGAAGGGCTGATGGCGAGTCTTTAAAGTTACTTTTTCCCCTGTGCATTCTCAGGTGCTTCTTTAGCCCGGTGGCAGACCAGTAAATGTTATCCCAAAACTGATATAAGTACCCTGCAGGTTTGTCAGAAAGGACATCCACATAGTTGTCATGAGATGGTCGATTTTAATGTGTTCTTCGTTGACAAGCAAATCCGGCACCAGATAGAATAACCATCCCGCAGATGTTACATACAATCTCAGAAAGAATAACTTCTAGGATCGAGTCTACATCAATTTTCCATAGAGCTCTTTTCAGTATCTGTCTATATTTCTGAGATGAGGTATTATATTATACACTATTTACATAATTCGGACTATTGTCCTCATCTTTGTTGCTATATATATCACAACGTTTCGGCCCTTCAGTATCTGTCTATATTTCTGAGATGAGGTATTATGCACACTGTTTACATTATTCGACTATTGTCCCCATCTTCGTCGCCATATTTACTATAACGTGTCGGCCTTCAGTATCTGTGTATATTTCAAGATGGTTAGGATGTAAGGGGTTATTGATTGTTAGAGAATTTGTTTTATTACGTTTCAAGAACAAGAATTAAGAAGACAGTTGGAACTGACAGACTCAAAGTTCTGTTCCACGTGCCATGTTTAAAGGATGTTCTGTTATCAGAATCTGTTAAATTCCCTCTGAAAGTTCTCCACTGCCTTAACCGAGTATTGAACTAGACTTTGGGTCCTGTCACTGATTTAACTAACACAAGGGCACATGGTACAGTGGATAAATGCGTTAGTTAGATCCAGTGACAGGACCCAAAGAGTACGAGCTCAAGAAAAGGCAGTGAGAATAGAATCAGAGGGAAATTAACACGAGATAACTAACAACTGACATCCATTAAAAACATGCCACGTGGAACTAGAATGTAGTCTACGCCAGTGAGCGAAATAAAGGGTTCAGTTCTACATTCCAACCACCTTAAGAAGGCCGGAGCGTACAATGGGCGAAACGTTGTAATAAATATGGCGACAACGATGAGGACAATAGTCCGAATAATGTAAATAGCTCTTTTCAAATTCAAATGACTTTAAAGCAACTATTGTTAACATTCTGTCCGTTAAATGCCATATGTGATACACGCTCGAGCGATCATAGCTCATTCGATTCAGGACTCACTAGTCAGATTTCCCTTTGCATTTCTTTCTGCCGACCGAGGCTCTAGGACCCAGGCTGTTCTTGTAAGTTTGTAAGATTTTATTTAGATTATAATGATTTTTACTGATACTATTTAACCCATAGTTTAAGAGATAAGAGGGGAATTCATACACTTCCCAAGGTTATTTCTGTGTAAGTGAATACAAACAACCCGACTTGAACTCAGATCTCAGATTTCAAATTCCGAGTCATTATCCATTACACCACCGACAGATTCCACATACTATCCTAGGTTTGGTTAGGTTTGTTTTAAGGCATATCAACATCAATGGGTTATTTAATGCCGACAAGATTTTTATTGCAGGTAATATTTTCTTTATCTATCTATCTCAGTATATATTGATTTGTTTTAGTTTTCCGGTATATCAACCTTAATGGGTTATTTAATGCCGACAAGATTTTTATTGCTGCTAATGTTTTTTTTTTCCAAAAATGTATTGCTCGTAATAATTTTTTTCTTACAAAGTATTTCTGGTATTTAAACCTACTTTTTACACTTTCATAGTGTTTTGAACCCAGCTTGGGTATTAACTATTTGCCCATAGTTAGGACCCTAACAGGTGTTACCACCCCGGGTCAGGGTGGAACTGGGAACACCAGCAATTAAGAGGTGGTTCCACGCTCCTCAAAACCTAATCAGAGGCTTT